GGAATAAAATCAATCAAGACAGACTTGTGTCGTACGTGGCCCGAACTACGTTTACTCTGATCTTTCATGCTGTATGAAAGTACGTAGGCATAGGATGCGATATCCTAGCGAGCAACCTTCCCCTCCTTTCCCGTAGGTAGGCGAACTACGTTGACTCTGATTTCTCGTTCCAGACGGGAATACGTAGGCATAAAGTGCGATACTTTGCCGAGTCGTTTTATTTTCCTTTAACCCCTGACCTGTAGAGTAGACAGAATAACAATCCATACCCGAAAACAAGCGTGGATCCCGTCGAGTACGACGGACGTGAGGGGTGCTAATACCTTCCCCTTGCGTAACCGACTCCCGAATCCAGGATTTGGTTGCGATGACCATTCCTTTCCCCGTTTTGCGGTAGGTTTACCTCGAGCGTTTCCTTTCCCTCCGTTGGGATAAATAACGCACGGTGGCGACTCTTCTGTTCAGCCGGCGCCGATTTTCGCAGTAGCGAAACACCGGTGGCTAGATTGGAGACTATTTGTTTGGTTGTTGGGATTGCGCATATCAACAATTGGGTGATTTACCAAATGGATGTAAAATCTGCGTTTTTGAATGGTCCTCTTGATGAGGAAGTTTATGTGGAGCAGCCACCCGATTTCGTGATTAAAAATCAAGAGAGGAGGTATTACAAGCTACACAAGGCGTTGTATGGTTTGAAACAAGCTTCAAGAGCTTGGAACAAACGTATATACGGCTTTCTTGTTGACATCGGTTTCAAACGATGTGTATCCGAACATGGTGTTTATGTGAGATCGGATAATATTTATGGTGTTATTATACTATGCTTGTATGTTGATGATCTCTTGATTATGGGCAGCAATGACAAGAGTATTTCAAGGTTCAAAGGGGAGCTCATGAGTGAGTTTGAGATGACGGACCTTGGTGTCATGAGATACTTTCTTGGCATAGAGTTCCACAAGTCAAAAGTGGGGCTGCTTATGCATCAAAGAAGGTATGCTCTAGATATCTTGAAAAAGTGTGAAATGGAGCATTGTAATGCTTCTAATACACCTTGTGAGGCTAGAGTTCAGCTGTCCAAAAGTGATGATGAGGATGATGTGGATCCAACACTTTACCGGAGTTTGATTGGATCGTTACGGTGTTTGTGCAATACTCGACCGGACTTGGTTTTTAGTGTCGGTATTGCGAGTAGATTCATGGAGAGACCTAAGGTGTCTCATTTGGCGGAGGTCAAGAGAATCCTTAGATATGTGAAAGGTACTCTTGGTTGTGGTATTTTGTTTCCCACATCAGATATGGGTCGCAAATGTACTTTACTTGGCTACACCGATTCTAATTGGTGCGGAGATAAAGATGATCGGAAATCTACGGCGGGTTACATCTTTATGTTCGGTAGTACACCAATCTCATGGTGTTCGAAGAAGGAACTAGTTGTAGCACTCTCTTCTTGTGAGGCCGAGTACATTGCGGCATCATTGAGTGCTTGCCAAGCTATGTGGTTAGTGAATCTCATGAAGGAATTGGGATGTGGTGATGATGATGCCACCACACTGTTTGTGGATAATGTTTCCGCGATAAATCTTGCGAAGAATCCGATTGCACACGGAAGGAGCAAGCATATTGAGATGCGGTTTCATTACTTGAGAGAATTGGTCGGTGATGGAAAGCTTAGATTGAGCTATTGCCGAAGCGAGGATCAAGTTGCGGATTTGTTGACAAAGGGTGTGACAAATGAGGTGTTCAAGAGACTGTTGAAGAGCTTGAGCATGATGAATTTGGAGCAACTAAAATGAGGTGGTGTGTTGAAAGCTGTAAAATTTTGTTTTAGAAATTTAACAGCTTTGGCCACTTTAGTTGGTTTTGTTTGTTTTTTTATTACTCTCTCATGTGTATATATACATTGTTGTAATCCCAATTCATAGTTAATGCCAATTTAGTGATTCATCCAATATTACTCTCTTCCCTATTCTCTCTTTCTCTCTCAATCACATCTTTTTCCCCAAGTTTCTTTTCACCATTATTACTACCTTCAAAATTCTGGTTTTATGTTTTATGTTGTTCTAACAACCTTTTTAAGCTATGATATCCGTTCTCACCTTTTAGCATATCTTTCACTGACTTTGACAATTTATTGTATTTTAAGGTGTGTTTATCGATAACATCCGAATATAATATAAAAGTAATCCTCGTCATTATTATTAAAAAAATAAATAAAAACTATTTATATTTTTAAAAATGGATTTTTTAAAATCGTTTTCTTTAAATATTACAAATTTTTTATATTTATTTTTTAGAAATTGTAAGATAATTTTGACATCATATTGTTGACTTTTAATTTCGACGTCTGAATGGAATTAAAAGTAAAAAATAAATTTCCTGAAGAAATTTAATTATTTCAACTAGAGTCATATTTTGAAATGGGAGTCGAAGACGTCTTTTCGCTAAGAGAATCTATGTTACGGACTTAGAGATATTTCTCAGCAGTTGGAAGATTTGTTTCAACATAGGTGTCATTAAAGGTATTTCGACAAGATCATTTAAATTCAAATAAAAGAGGGAAAGTTCGTTTTCATATATTCCTTAAAGGAGACACATGGAGCGCTTCTAGGATTCGAAGACATGCATAACGACACTTGTCTCGATTTCGTTTGTCAGCCGCAAATATTTTTTATTATTATAAATAGCAGGTCATAGTGTTAGGATTTGTGTGTGTTCAATTGTGTACAAATTTTTCGGTATACTCCAAGTACCCGTGTATTGAGAGAAACGAGTTTGTAAGAATGTATGTTGATGTAACACCAGCTTTTCATTTCAATGCAATCTAATAAATCTCTTTCTTTAAGAACTTATTCTTTCTTTATGCAAGTTCTTGTCTTCATCATTTACCAGTACTTCGATTTTACTTCTTGTCACCTAAATTTATTTACATCTTAGATAAGTTGCTTTATCATGAACTCTGTCGAAGTGTTCATAGTTTTTATAAACTTTATTTAAGATCAATTAACACATGTCCTAGGATTTGTGTGTTCGATTTTGCAAGTAAAACAAATCTCTTTTTCTATTTGTAAGACCAGCGGTTGTTCACCAATTTTCACGGCGAACACATACTACATAAAAATACATTATTGAAAATCAAAATATAATCAAAATCGCAATATTTAAAAAAGTTATATCTCAAAAATGATTTTTATAAGAAGCTATTTGAAATAACTTTAAAATTAAGTGATTTTTTAAAATTTTGATATCAAAATTTTTTTTGATAAAATATTGATACATTTAAAATAACATTTTAAAAATATTTATTTAAATTAAATTTTTATAAAAAAATTTTTTTTTAAAATATTTTTCATAAAATTATATTACACTATAGAAATCATTTAAAAAAAAACAAAATAAACGGCTTATGATTATAAATGAAATATTTTGTTAATATTTTCTATAAATAGTTGGACCCATTTATAGTACATACCTTCGCTAGATATCTGCACAACTCATTGTGCAATAAAGGAAGTAGGATGCAACAAAAAGAAAGAGATCTTAGCTACCACCCTAACCACCTTAGCACTTCATACCACACTTCGATTCAGAGTATCTTCTGTGCACTGTTCAATAATCTTTTCTTATAAAAAAAGTGAAACTCACTTATTGTAGTTTCTAGCTTTTAAATAATAATTAATTCTTTGAATTGTACATTTTAATTATTATTATTATTATTATCATTATATATATTATTATAACACTTCTTTTTTTTATATATACATTTTAAATATTCTAGATTTTAAGTTATATGTGGTAATTTGTTTTGCACATTTTTAAAGGCGATATAATAGATTTATAAATAGAGGCATTAAAATTCAATAGGATACATCAAAGCCTCGAGAGACAACACATGAGGTACCAAACAATCACCCAGCTAAACAGAAACAACAAAAAAACTAAAATCAATTTAATCAACTAAATCAGGATCGGCCCAAACTCAAAACGATTGAGGCTATCGTCTTAGGCTTCAAATTTTCGTGCCTTTAATGTAGGTTTCAAAAGCAGAAAATAAGTCCTCAACTTTTATATGATAAAAGAATGTTTCATAAAGGATAACATGAAACATAATGGCCTAGAGATGAAAGACCTTGACAATCATATTTGGAAAAAAAAGACATGGAAGAGAGAAAATAGGTAAAGTGTGATTGCATATTTTATTAAAATAAATTCTATAATTATTAAACAACAATATCTTAAGTTTTAATTAAATATTATTTTTAAAATAATTTAAATTAAATTTTATTTTAAGTTTTTGAGCACATTGAACTGACACTAAACTAAATAATATGATAAACAGACGAAACACCAACCAAGAGAATTGTCGAAGGATGGCGAATAACCAAAACTCCAAAAGTATTTGCAAAAAATAACTGCAAGCTCCGTTGAGCAACGAGAACACACCAAAGAGAAATTGTAACCACTCGAATTACTATTAACTCAAATGTCAGATATGATTCTCTAGCTTCAAGTTAAAGACTCTTCTCACACACACACACACATATATATATATATATATATATATATATATATATATATATATATATATATATATATATATATATATATATATATATATATATATATATATATATATATATATATATATATATATATATATATATATATATATATAATGAACAAATATAGCTTACTAATAACTGTACGAAAAGGGAGTAGATTGCACCCAAAAGAGAGTCACTGTTGATCGTACGTTAATGTCTCATTTCATCTCTAATAATTACTATTGAAGGGTTTATTTATGTTTTTGACAGTCACTTTGAACAGTTGAAAACATGAACGCAAACGCTTTATTACTATATACTGACTGCACCACTATGACTACGTGGTCCATGCAACCTAATTAACCTATTCAGAACTCCATAAAAGAGACTACACGCTTTGATCCTCATCCATTGTTTTTTTTATCCAGAGTCTCTTTGATATTCAAGAGAAACCCTAAAATGGATTGGAATAATGAGAGAACAGTACCCTTTGTTCCTCCTCCAGGTTCTTCTTTAAGCTTCTTCTACAACTATAACAACTACAATTATTCAGGTAAATAAACATTACTCTTCAAATCATTCACCTTTATATATATACACCAATTTTTTTATTGTCTTCTAGACACAGTACCCTTTGGTTATTAACTGTTATATAATCTTTAACTCATAAGATAAGAAAAAGCATGATATATTAGTGATGTGATGAAAAATAAAAATACAAAAATGTAATATAGATATGAAAAGAAGTGAAGAAACTAATTAGGGTTTAATATGTTTCTTAAAGTAGGTAAGTAAAAACTCATTGTGATTGTTTGTCTATGTTGGATTATTAGGAATGGAAGCGAGTGAAGCGGCATTGGGTGAGACTCAACAAAGGTTGCTTCCTGTAATTGATGATGAAACGAAGATGATTAATAATGGAAAAGATGGCCGAGAGAAGAAGAAGTCGAAGAACAAGAAGAATAAATTAACAAGTAACCAAGTTGATGCATTGGAGAGGAGTTTTCATGAAGAAATAAAGTTGGATCCTGAAAGAAAGATGAAACTTTCTGCTGAGTTAGGGCTTCAACCTCGCCAAGTTGCTGTCTGGTTCCAAAATAGGCGTACTAGGTGGAAGACTAAGCAGCTTGAACACTCCTATGATGTGCTTAAACAAGAAAATCAGAAACTTCAAGAAGAGGTATCTCTCATGTAACCCTTGGTCTATGCCCAATTTCAAAATTGTGTCTCGATTCCAACACCAATAATATATAAACATATAGGATTGCATTTAATTGTATCTAAACCATAATCATAAACCCTAAAAAGATGTATAGAAAATATTAATTATCTATTGATTTTTAAGTTTGCTTCTTAACCAAGATTTACTTGACTTGGCTGGTGTTTCCTGAACAGGTTATGGAGTTGAAGGAAAAGCTAAAAGAGAAATCTGATTGCAGGACACAAACATTGGGCGATGAAACAGTAGAAAGTCCGTTAGAAGGGTTGGGATGGAGAGAGATTGAAGGATATGAACCATATCCAAATTCTCACAATCAACAAGGATCAACAAGTAGCATTCAACAAGCTGCTGAGGGATACATCAACAGTTCTTTCATTGTTGAAGATTTTGACTCAGTTTCACTGCATCAGGAATGTCACTGGCCAGAGTTACCTTATTATCCATAATCTACTATAGATGTTCAAGTTTGAATGAATTAAGTACTTTTTATCAGTGCAGACTCACTTAATTTTAGTCTACTAGTAGTTAGGTCTTAGTCGTTTGAAGACTGACATTAATTAGGAACTATTGAAAGTACTCTTCATCGAAGGTTGCAAAGTTTTTTATTTGTTAAATATATTTAACAATTGCATTGTATCACAGATCATATCAACATATGTCTGTGGGTGCATCGTCTAGCCCACTGGCTGTGTCACTACAAGAAATACTTGGGATTACCAACAACATTTACATCCTGTAAGAAATCTTAGAAAAATCCATGCATTTTCTTAGAATAGCAATCCCTTCACAACCATCCACTCAGGTAAAAGTCTGGCAGTGCCTGTCCAACGCCACATTTTGAAAATGTCAAAATGTAATTATTGGAATTCGAACTTATAATCAACGTTGTTTTTCACTTCGGTTGGCAGGTCCAACTAAGGAAAAATGTGACATACTATCCAGCTTTTCACCTTAACCAATAGTCTAAGAAAAAAGTATAACAATTTTCATGATACCTTATGTTACCCCAAACACCCAACTTAGGTGAAATGTGATTTTCATAGTAGTTGACATTTTTCAAGGATATCGCTCCCTCCTAATAAGTACTAAGTTAAAAGATATATTTGTGAGTCAAATAGATTTATGGGGAGATATATCAGAAAATTTATTGAAATTTGTCTTTTGGAGTACCCCTTATACTTTTGATATATATTTTGTTTAAAAAAATATGAAAAGTGCAATAGTTTTGATGGTGTATTATCGAGGGATATATTATTCAAGGGTTTGGAATGTAAAGTAAATCGATTAATCAAATTCAAAAAAAAAAATCTTTATGGAAAGTGAACAGGTGTGTCATTGCATTACCTAAGAATATAACCATTTGGTACGACGTCGTATTTTACCCGTTGTTAGTGAGATGGACTATGCAGTCTTCCTAGGTCAGGTTGAGTCAGTTGACCATCTCATCGTTCATTTCATAGTCACGTCGACTATTTGGTATAAAGTCTTCAAGTGGTTGTGTAAGCTAGTGCTTATTGTTCAATGGGTTCTTCAAGTTTTTGAGTTGGATTAGGGATTAGGTGGTAAGAGGGAGACCTTAGGTTTGAAATTGATCAGACATATTGTAGTTGTTTGGATTATCTAAACTTATGTAATAAATTAGTTTTTGCTATGAAAGTCTATCGGTTAATCAGTAAGTAAATAACATTACTTGACTTTCTTAGAAATGAGATTACTTTTATTCTCTAGATCTTGAACTCTCTTGTAGATTGGGAGCAAGACATGCTCTTTTGCTTTCGAATGGGTCTTATGTTAGAGTTTTGCAATGAGTTTTGGATTTCTGGTACGGTTTTTTTACTTGTTTCTTCTGTTAAGTTTTGACTATTTTGTGGATTTTTTTTTTATTTCTCCCTAGTTTTTTGTTGACTGTAGAGAAATATATATATATATATATATATATATATATATATATATATATATATATATATATATATATATATATATATATATATATATATATATATATATATATATATATATATATATATATATATATATATATATATATATATATATATATATATATATATATATATATATATATATATATATATATATATATATATATATATATATATATATATATATATATATATATACTTGTCATTAAAAAAATCTTTAATAAGGAACTTTATAAATACACAAATAAATCTAATTGTTAAATTTTTGATGGACTGAGATGAATTTATTGGGCCTAAAAAGGAATAACCTCAATGAGATTTCAACTGTGAGTACACATAAGAATCCCCTCTTTTTGTTAATAAAAGAGAAACTTAAATACAAGTTTGAAGTTTGCAAGGAGGAGTAATGAATCAAGTTAACCCTTGTAAATAACATGAATCTTGAATTTTTCTTTGAAAACTTTTTGCTTTAACTTAATTCGAATCTTCATCTGAATTTTACTTTGTTATTTGAACAACCAGAAACTTAGATAAATGGTGAAACTTAATACACTGATCATGTCTTTTAGAAATCTTGAAGACGAAGGTACACCCTAATTCTCCTTCGAAAAGCCCTTGAGAAGTCTTAAAGGAAATGACCATTGAAAATTTTAGGGTCTTTGAAAATAGAAACTGATGGTCACGTCCTGAAGTATTTGACTTAAAGAAAAAGGTACTCAAAATTAATGCTCCTGCACAAGAATGTTAGTTGTAAAAAGCAATGCGCACAAAAATCGTATGACCTAGAGATGTTAGGGTGTGACACCCACTTTCAGGGTCCTTTTTTGTTAGTTTTCCCATAGTGTTTAGAAACTTTGGGTTTATGTGCAACAGAATAATCAAGTGGTGTTTGTGCACGATATTTAGGCTCGGAAACAATTTTCTGTATCAATGAGGTTTCTGTGCAAGCTTAAAATAAACAGGTTATGTGCCAGCAGGTACAAAGTGCTTATAGAGAGGTTTTGGTTTTACCATGATACTTTCGTCAATCTTAGAGGTATCTGTACAACCTAAACATTTCTTTCCATTTCTACTCACTCCATATATTAAGGAAGCAATTTTACTTCTACCTATGCTTTCAGTCAGAAAGTGCCGAAAAGCTCTGTCATATCTAAATACATAGTTGGTACCGGAAATATATGGACCTATTTCTTCTTCTAATTTTGAGATTTAACTTCTCAAAGTAGAGTTTGTACTTTCTAAAGAAAATATTTTTTTTCATTTAAAGAAGAAATATTCTCTTCATGCTTCTCACAAGTTTCAGAAGCAATTACTTGGACTTGTTGAAGGTCTTTGTATTTGCTTTGAAGCACTACTACAGAAATGATTTTTGACAGCGCAGAAAAGACAGCGCTTTTTGCAAAAGCGCTGCTAAAGAGTCAGGAAAAAAAAGGAAAAAATAAAAGAATTTAGACAGCGCTTTTAGAAAAGCGCTGCTAAAGGTGGCAGCTATGGTTAACAATAGAAAGCGCTTTACAAAAAGCGCCGCTAAAGGTAGGACCTACGAAAGCGCTTTTAGAAAGCGCTGCTATAGGTGTAACCTACGAAAGCGCTGCTATATGGGGTACAAAAGAAAGCGCTTTTATAAAAGCCTGCTATAGATTCTGCCTTAGGCAGACCTTAGAGAGCGCTTTTATAAAGCGCTGCTAAAGGCCATGAAAAAGCGCTACTATAGGTTTAAGTAGCATAAATTTAAAAAATCCCAGAATTTTTCATAAAACAGAATAGTCGTAGTTTTGCTTTCTTTCCCGCTCGCACATAGAACCTAGTCACAGACGACAACTTCTGTCCATTGCTTCCGTCCCCGTCCGTCCATTTTGATCGTCATCTTCGTCCTCCACCTCCGTCCGTCTGTTTTGACCGTCATCTTCGTCCTCCACCTCCACTGTCAGCGTATTTCCACCATTTTTAAGGTATTTCAAATTTTTTAAAAATGTTTTTGATGAAAACAAATAATGTTGTTGCATGTTAGTGTTGTTGTTGATGTTAAAATGACAATATTGATGGAAACATTATTTTTGTTCTTCTTCTTCTAATGTAAGGTTGTAACCAGGTTTGTGATCATGAGGATTTTTTACTGTTAAACCTTTGAGAACAGTGGTAGGAAACATTGGTTTAAATTAATTTGGATAGCAAGTGGAGGCTGTCATGAGGGTTTTAACTTTTTGCGTGCCTCATTTCTGTTTAGGACCTTGAGAGCTTGCTATGGTTCATGTTGAGCTCATTGTTAACCATTGGTGAATATGTTAGGTTTTAGTAAGATAGTTGAACTTGAAGAGTTAGGCCTCAATTGGTTTTTCAAAGCTGACTGTACTCACTGTCTGCCATTTGATAAGAGTTTGCCAAACTGAATCCTTCATCAAGGTTTCCTTTGTTTTTTAAAAGGTAATTTGGATCAAACTCATAGCATGTTGGTTCTGCATAGATTCACTAATTCTGTCAAGCCTTTATGAATCCAATGATGTGTTGTAATTCTGTCAACACATTAACCTCTTATATCATATAGTGTCCATTTCCGATCATTGCAAAATGTGAGTGGAGTTCATGATCTTTGGCAGTTTGTTTAATGAATTTTGCTTGTGCTTTGTGAAGTTGCTTGTTAACTTGGTCTAGATGCTAGAGTACAATTCACCATTTATGAAATCACATGATGAAAAAATCACATGATGGAAAAACCCATTCATTTGATAATTTGATTTTTTCTGAATTACAGGTATTATGGCCACCAACGAGGAAAAACCACATGATGAAAACGAAACAACAAAAGACGTGGAAGGCAAAATTAAAAGAGGAATAACGATTATGAAAAAATCATTTGTGCGAGAGATAAAGGTGTAAAGTATGATGTGCATTGGAATGAAAGAGATCAATTAATTGAGCCTAACTGTGCGATGTTAATTGGCACATTAATCATATTCATTATTTGTTTAGGGCATTTCACCTTGTCGGCTATATTTATCGTCACCGACTTATCGCATGGTTGGTAAGGGAAAAGTGCATAACACTTTGGGAGATCTACTTCACCATAAACTGTTCCCTGCTGGATTTTTGAAAGTATCAGTTGATATTGCGTTAGAGGGGGGTGCGTTGTTTCCTATACCAGATGATGTTTTGGACGCAACAGTGGGCGGAGACGCAATAGGATCGTATGTTGCATGGCCGTCACATCTAATTTTCATAGATGATGAGGTAGGTTGAACACCATTATGAAGTATTCAAATGTTTTACGACCCATACATGAAAGTTATTCTTACATTTACATTTACTTATTTACATGATGATCTTAGACTCCTACAAAATCCAAATCAAAAGATAAGGGAATTATTATGCAGAAAACCGATTCAGCTGCATCAAAAAAATCAGGTACTATTACAGTTATATGATGATCTTATTATACATTAATTACTGAATTTATATGACTTTTAGGTTCATGATCAACAGTTGCAACAAGTCAGCAAGGGTAAGAT